CCTACCTACCTATCTATCTATCTATCTATCTATCTATCTATCTATCTATCTATCTATCTATCTATCTATCTATCTATCTATCTATCTATCTATCTATCTATCTATCTATCCTTCTCCCCCTCCCTCTTTCTGGCTTAATGAAGATAGTAAACGGCAGCACTTTAGTTTTAACTGAATGTAATGCTTTCAGTGTACCCTGGTAACCCATTTAAAGCGTGGGGGAATCCCAGATTAGGGAAGGCAACTTAGAGGCCAAATATGAGCCGACAGTGTGATGTGGCTGCAAAAAAGGCCAATGCTATTTTAGGCTGCATTAACAGAAGTATAGTTTCCAAATCCCGCGAGCTGCTAGTCCCCCTCTATTTGACACCAGTTAGGCCTCATCTAAGAGTCTGTGTCCAGTTCTGGACACCGTATTTCAGGAAGGATGCCAATAAACTGGAACAAGTGCAGAGGAGGGCAAGAAGGATGATGATCAGGGAACTGGAAACTAAAAACTGAAAGAACTTGGCATATTTAGTTTGGAGAAAAGAAGACAGAGGGGAAATCTTTGAATGGCTATCCTACAGACGAGGGGCAGGATCTGTTCTTGAATATTCCAGAGTGCAGGACATGCAACAATGGGCTCAAGTAACAGGAACCCAAATTTCCCTTAAATATCAGAAAAAACTTCCTGTTAGAGCAGTATGACAATAGGACCTATGACCTTGAGAGATGGTGAGTGCTTCAACACTGGGGGCCTTCAAGAGAGAATTGAGACATTGGACTGGATGGCCTTAAAGCCCCCCTTCGACACCACCGTGCCACGATTCTATGATTCTAACCATTGAAGGGGGACTTTCGCTTGACCGCGGTGGAAGACAACAGAGAGCCAAAGGTGGCAAATATGGATTCTAGCCCTGCCCATCTCCCACCAGATCAGGCTGGCATGTTGACTCTCCTCAGTTCATGACCAGGCTTGATTCCCAAGGACTGAGGCCAAGACGAGGGGTTATTGTGGTTGTGTTGTGCGAGGGAAAGAAAAGCACCCTGTCCACGCAGAGAAAGGAACCTTTTCATCTGGCACGCCTGCCAAGAACTGAATGCCATGGAGATTAGTTTTTTTCAAACACTTTCTTTCATCGGGGAGAGGACCTCAAACTGACCCCATTCTACCTGGCAATGGGTTTCGAAATAGGTGTGTGCCGTCAAGACAATTCTGACTCACAGTGACCCTTACCAGGACTTTCCAGGTAGAGAATCCTAAGAAGTGGTTTATTCACCCCTTCTGCTGGGCCACATAGGTGTGTGCCGTCAAGACAATTCTGACTCACAGTGACCCTTACCAGGACTTTCCAGGTAGAGAATCCTAATAAGTGGTTTATTCACGCCTTCTGCTGGGCCACTTCCTGGAAGTCCTCTGCAGCTGGCCCAGGGCCACCCAGGCTGGCTCTTTCTCCCTGGAGGTCCATTGGGGGGAATCGAACTCCCAACTTTTGGCTCCACAGCCAGAAAGCTAAAGGACTGAGCTATCCAGCCAGCTTAAATTTAATTTAATCATGTACGGTCAGGTCAGTTCTGATTTATGGTGGCCCTTTTCAGGGTCTTCCAGGTACAGAGTGCTTAGAGGTTCTGCTAGGACTGTGCAGTTTGCCCAAGGCCTCCCAGGCTGGCTCTTTCTCCCAGGAGACATGGCGGGGAATCGAATTTTCAACCTCTGGCTCTGCAGCCAGAAACCTAAACCCTAAATCTTCAAAACAAGGTTCAAAATAGAAGCTTTTAAAACCTTTTTTAAGTGGATACCTGACAACGTAGGACTTTCAGGGACAGCTTTTAGCTACAAAAGACAAGTCTTGAGGTCCCTTCCGAGTTGATCATTCTAGGCTGTTCAGCTCCTACTTTAGTCAAGAGTTGAATTAAGTGGTCCTCATTGTCTATTTGAGCCACTGGGACTCTTAGATCTGGCTTTCGGCATGAGCCAAAGGACCAACCGCAGGTGGCGTTGGGATCCATCTACCTATGGATTCCAAATTGGGAACATCTATCTGTTAGAGCAGCGGCCCCCAACGTTGACTCCCCAAAGGCCCTTGGACAACAACTCCCAGAATCGCTTGCCAGCACAGCTCATGGTGAAGGCTTCTGGGAGTTTTAGTCCAAGAACATCTGGGGACCCGAGGTTGGGAACCACTGTTTTGGAACATTCATCGAGCATCATGGCTACCTTTTTGTCTCCTAACTCATTCAGTAGAGATGGTGGATCTCTACTGAATTGATGCTTTTGAACTGTGGTGCTGGAGGAGGCTCTTGAGAGTCCCCTGGACTGCAAGGAGAACAAACCCGTCCATTCTGAAGGAAATCAACCCTGAGTGCTCACCAGAAGGACAGCTCCTGAAGCTGGGGCTTCAAGACTTTGTCCATCT